GGGGCAAGAGAAGAAGAAGGGGACGGCAGAGAAGGAGGTGGCTGGATGGAGTCCTCGAAGCAGCCCTCATGGGCTTAAATGGGCTCCAGGGAATAGTAGAGGACAGGAAGGCTTGGAGGAATGTTGTCCATGGGTTTGCGATGGGTCAGACAAGACTTTGCAACTAACAACAACAAAGGCATCTAGAACACAGGTGTCAAACTTGATCGTGACTTTTTTTGCCTTTGCGGAGCTGGGGTGGGCGTAGCTTACGTCTGATGCGACAGGATCTAGAACCATGCAACAATCTGGTTTTCTCAGACTTTCTCTTGACTAAAACCAAAAGCACTCGGCAAAAAGGAGGATGTGCAAGATGAATTCCTGGAATCACCCCAAACATGCAGTTTTGTTCCTGAGCTGAGACCTTTAAAGATACAACTCACTAGATGTCCCTGTTCAAAGGTAGCAGAAGGAGAAGGAGAAAAGGGGAAGATGGTCTCCCACCACTCCATCCCATGTCCGGCTTCCTCAGTTATGTGGCTAACTGAATGCTGGTTTTGGGTAGACTGATTCAGTGGAGCCAACCATGTGGCAAATGGTTCTCGCAATGGGCCGAGGGGAGGCAATGCGGAATGGAGGCACAGCAGTCTCTCTATTCTACCTCCATAAAACAAAGACATCACTGTTAGCAGCAGCAGCAGCAGCGGTTTCATTGTGAAATCCTCCACGCCCTTCCAGTTAAAATGTAATAGTGATCCCAGGGCCTTACCAATTCCAGTCAAGCCCTTTTCCAAAAACCTCTGCACTTTTTTCTTTCACAAAAGTGAAGCCATTACGTAACTAGCAATCTAACATGGTCCCTAGTGACGATGAAGAGTCGGTGTGGTTTGTCATCTTCCACTGACCTTGTATTTTGTCCTTCTTTAAGTCAAGCCTTTCAAGTAATGGAATGAGGTAGGCACCGCTCTTGCCGGTTCCGTTCTTAGCTCTGGCTAAGATGTCCCTTCCAGACAAAGCAATAGGAATGCTCTCCTCCTGAAAAGAAGCAGGGTGAAAGAGAAGGTAAGACTTTGAATGAAGAAGTAAAAAAAATATGAAATAGCTGTCAGAAGATATAAACATAAGGAGTAAAAACAAAAGGAGAAAAGGGCCACACTTCAGATGAAGAGGCAGAAAGGTTATCTGCTTGCAACTATATTGCAAGAAGACAATATGGACCAGTGATGTCTTCTAGATGGTCTGTAGTCGGCATGACAAACTTCTATATGTAGTTTTTCCATCTGCCTCTCTAGACTGAAAAGATTTGGAGACAGGAATGTTTCTGCTCGGTTAACAGTAACGTTAATTAATGGTTCAAACAATCATTAACTATCATAAAGAAGCCTACTGGAAACATAAAATTGTCTTGTTCTAATTCCATCTACCACTAGAAGAAACAAAAACTAGATCCTGTGAAGGAGTAAGAAATCTCAGCCCTTTATTCCAGGGACCTTCTGCTTTCCATCTCACACGAAAAGGCCATTTCCATATGCACAAGAGCGAGTCCTTCAACTGGGATGGCTTTTGCTGATAGGAAAACATGAAAGGGTGGATTCCATCATCTTATACACAGAGAAAGTGTTTTTTCCCTGGAAAGGAAGGCTTTGAATGGCAAGAGGCTGTGGAGAGCGTGAGAGAAAAGGTGAAGGGAGATACCCCAGCCCTCCTTTCTCCACTGCGTTCATCAGCCTTCCAGGCGTGCAGAATGGATACAGTTCAAGCAAAACAATGCAGGAACAGCTTCAGCAGAAGCCAATAGCACACAATACAGCATCCTGTTGGATGGAAATCCAAAGCCTATCATTTCCCCCCATTACTTATAAAAGTTACATTTCCAATCATTAATAAGCATCATAATTTACTAAACTTGCTCAGCTTACCCTATAGGTGACTAACCTGAATAGGAGATGGCTTCTCCCAGCCCATTTCAAAAATTCCCATCAGCAACTCCCGCTTCAGACAATAATCTTCAAACTCATTTCCTTTTGTTGATGTTACATCCTGGAGAAGCAAAGCAGAATCATTAACTCGCGTGATGTCAATCTCAATGCAAAGGGCATTCTGAGGCTAAGCCCAGCAGCAGAGTGGGTGCTCTGATGTGGGTTTTCTCTCCCCAAGGGGCTGAAGAAATTCTAGAAAGCAAAGGGAGTGGGAAGCAGGGAAACTGGGCTGGGCAAGGCTTTGGTGTTATGATCTAAAAGATATGCGTACTTGATAAAACGTTTATGGGGGGTAGGGGTAAATGATGATAGGAGGTGGTAGCGTTAAATTTAAGGCAAGTTGCACTCTATGCCCATTGCTGCTGCATTTTATTCAGAACTGGGACGTGGGGTAGTGGTGTAGGAGGGGAATATGTATGTTTTTTCTTTTAGTTTCACCAGTTAGTTTAAGATGATTATTTGTGCAGCTGCATCATCTATAGCAGGCAGCCATTGCTTGCAAGAGGCATTTTGAGATGGTGTAATTTCAGAGATAGCAATCAGCAAAGTAGGCAACCTATCTCAGTGTGAATTCTGTAAGACAATGTGATTTAATCAGTTTGAAACCTTACACTTCAATGAAATGAACATCTGCTGCCAAGCATGAACATCACTTCCTTTCCCATGTTTAAAATTTTAGAAAGCCTTACCGACGTTTTGATTCTCAGGTCCTTCGGAGGGAGCTTTAAAGTCTTCTTCCAGTCATCGCCAGGTCTGAAGTGAGAAAACTGTATTAGCTACTGGACCTGATTTTGGTCTAGCCAGATCTTTACATCACATGTGATACAATCACCCTCAGGCTTGAAAAACAAAAAAATAACAGCCCTTTTAACACACCTAGAATCTGACGTACAAACTCTTCATGACACAGGAAGAAAAGGATATTTTAGGTCAGTGTAATCAAGTGTTAACACAGCATTAAGCAACCACTGGAGAATGTGGAGAGGATCTGAACATGTCATGTGCCACTGAATAACTTCTGAAGTTCAGTCAGAGTTATGTACCTTTTTCTCCATATTTCAAAATAGCCGCCTTCGTTTTAGTCAGATACACAGGATTGATAATGCATGGCTGGACTAAACTCAACAGCTTCCACTGTTCAACATGTATTTGTACCAATGCTCTCCAGGACCTTAGCCACTACACCAGTGTGTTGAAAGCCCAGAAGAAACTTTCTTCAACTCCTCACTGCACAATCATTTTCAAACGTGAAAAATGCAACAGACCATAATTGAAGTTGCTTTTCCAATGCTGAGCAAGCCACAGGCAGTCCAGAATGTGCTAGGACTGAAGACCTGTGGTCTTGGAATATAAAAAGCGCTGACTTGTCAGGATGCATATGAGACGACCGTGGTGGGTGATGCTTCCAGAGCTCTCGAGAGCCAAATTCAGCTGCTGCTGCTGGTGTAGCAGCAGAAGGCACTGTTCTACACTGTCTGCCATTACCTGCAGAGCAGTTACCCTAAGCTGGAAGATGGTTATTTTCCCTGGGAAGTCCCAGACTCCCTATTTTGTTCTTTGTGGAACAACAGATCATCCCACCGTACTCTTCCATCAAACCAGGCAGGTTGGAGTGTTTGGTTTAAATGAGCAGAGATCACAGGATCAAGAGAAACTGCTACAAAGAAATGTTTTGTTAAAAGGAATCCTCCAGAAAAGATATGCCAGTTATTCACACCAATATGACCTAAATATTACCTGTTTTAGGCTGGGTAGCTCTTTGGGAGTCTTATGAAGCAATTACATGATTCACCACTTCCATTGATACAACGGTACTCCATAAACTTGCTATTAGTAAGGAAATCTCCCAAATATACAGGATTGTCTATTATATGTTAATTCTCTACTTTAAGCAATGCCTAATCAGGAAGCAATCTGACTCCTGCTTTTAGCCAAAGATACTCAATATCAGTTCTGATAAAAATAAAACAGTTCTAGTGATAGCCTAAAGGCTTAGGGCTGAGTTGAATTTAAGGTGATGGTTCCTTTCTTTAGTGCTTCCTAAAGCACCTATCCCAAATCACTGGAGCCTTTTTCCCAGTATGCTGCTTTTTTTCAATAGTAAGTTTGGTGGCATATAAATTTAATAAATAAGCAAACGTGCTTCTCCATTCAGCTGGGCGCAGCTGAGAAACCCTGTACTGGGCTTCCAGTTAAGAGGTATCTAGGATCTCTATTGCAGTGGGGAGAGAGGGTGCCTGCAGTTGTGGAACTTCCCACTCATAGAAATCCAGCAGAGGTAGGAACCCTCCAAGTTGCTCAGCAGGCAGCCTTTCTTTAGGGTCTCCTAACAGCTGGATACCATTACCCTTTCTTGATCCCATGCTAAATTAAACTGCGTGCAGTTTGCGGGAAGCTGTATTAAAAATATATAGTCACCCTATGCAACTGACAGCACTATGTAGCAACAATAGGAAGCAAGGGATGAATAAGTAAAGTGTGACAAATGTGGGACAAATACAATTCAGGAATAGCATCAAATATTGCTGCAGTTGGTAAAACGGGTACAAGGAGGAAAGAGCTCACACTCCATCCAGGAGATTCTGGGTGTCTCACAAGATGGCTGCCGATGCTCTAGACAAGTACTCACTTGATAGTGGAGGCCATGCTCTGTGCTTGCTGCTGAGTGCCATTGTTGATTGTGTTGGGATGTTTCAGCTGGTTTATCTGTTGCTGAGCCTGTGTCCCTCCGCTTCCTGGACCACCACCAGGTTTTACTGGGCCCCTCAGCTGTCCATTTTGACTGGAGAGACCCATTATAACAGGGTTCTCTGTTCTGGCCGTACTCATGTTTGCCTTTTAAATGTCTTTCAACTTCCAAACAGTTGCGAGTACGGAAAGTGTAATAGTTTATTAGACTCTCCAAGATGAAGAGATATATTAGGTCCTGCTCAATATATGAGTCTCTTATTGCAACACAGGCAAGCACCTGTAAAGTCCCTCAAGATAAACCAGTCACTTGCGCTGATGCACTGTGGAACAAGTTTTTAAAAAGTCTTCCAACACGCTTGAGTTCCGTCCAATCTACTCACTTCAATCTGGAAAGAAGACAGACAAAGCCGTTAGTACCCGCGCTTGCTGGCTGCATCCACTCCCACGGAAGGTTGGGGGATGCGAGTAACCTCAAAGGCCGGCGAGCCCAGGCCCGGACCCCGCTCCCCTCCCCTCCCCAGGGCGGCCTTGCGGGCATCTTCTGGGGGCGGCGGCGGCGGGGGAAGGGGAGAACGTACCGTGTGCAAGACGCCCCCCCAACCGCAGCCTTTTTCCTGCGCCATTCAAGGGACGGAGGTTGGCGAAGCTTCCCCGCCAAGAGACGCCGCGGAGGGACGTTTCGAAACCGCCCCCTCCCTCCCCTCCTGGCCTGCCAAATCGGGGCCGAGCGCCCGAGGCCCGGATTCAGCCAGGTTCCCCGCCCGGGTCCAAAGCAGCCCTCCAAGGGAGGCGCTTCCCCGCCTTTGTCTCAGGCCCCGCCGGCGGCGGCAACCCGGGCCCAGCGTCGGGAGGCGGCCCAGGCCCCTCCGGAGGACGCGCGGGAGGCCTCGCTCCGGAGTCGAGGGTGCCGCGCGCAAGGCCGCCCCCGGCCCCGCGGAGCCTCAGCCGGACGGACAGACAGGGCCTCGGTCCCGGGCCTCGCCGCGCCGGAAAGGTCCGGCCTCCGCGGAGGCCGGGTCCGCAGCGCCGCTCTCTTTCCACCGGCGGCCGCCCGCCCACGGCCCGCCCGCCTACCTGCCTGCCTGGCGGCCGCGCTCGCTTCCCACTCCGCGTCGGCCCGTCTCGCAGCCCGTCGGCCGTGGCTCCGCTCGGACTATGGCGGCGGCGACGCGACAACAAGATGGCGGCCCTTCCCTTCCTCCTTCCTTCCGTCCTGGCGCGCGCGCCTTCCTCCCTCCTCCTCCTCCTCTTCCTCCGCCCCCTCGAGCCACGCCCACCGCCCGGCCGCGCAGGCGCCCCGCGACGCCTAAGAACCGCCG